AGTATATTCGATAATGGCAACACTGCATAAAGAAATAGAGAAAGAAGTAAAAAAGACAAAATGCGTAGTTGTTGTCGGAATCGTGCAAAGCAGAGTAAACGTGCTGTGGTGTAATCATAATATTTATTAAGATTAAATTGTAAATTATTATAATACTTTAAGTAATAAAGTATATGTTGTTATATATAAGAACATAACAAAGTTGGCGACGAGGATAAAAATTAAAGGATGGCGAGGAGTTTTGGGGTATTGGATCAATTTGACGTTGCGTCGGGGAAGTGGAAGACTTACAGGGAGCAAATGGAGTTTTTTTTTATGGCAAATGAAATCACAGACGATAAAAAGAAAAAAGCAATCTTTTTAGCGTCATGTGGGCCGGAAACCTACACAATATTAAAATCGGTTGCCACACCGATTAATATTGTAGAGGAAACATTCACATTTGAGGCGGCAACTAAGTTATTGACCAACTATTTTTGTCCGGCAGCGAATGCAATAATTGAAAGGTTTAAATTTTATCGGAGAAACCAAGTAGAGGACGAATCAATTATTGAATATTTGGCAGCGCTAAGGAAATTGAGCCAAGACTGCAATTTCAAGGATTTGGAAGAAATGTTACGAGACAGACTAGTCTGTGGCATGCGCGATGAAAATTTACAAAAGCGGCTCCTGGCGAATGACCAGTTAACACTAAAAATAGCGCAGGAGGAAGCTATAGCATCAGAAACAGCACAAAAGAATGCGACGGAACTTAAAACGTCAGCCAGCCTACCAGGGTTGAATAAAATTTCAAGCAACAAGGTAAAACCAAATCGTGCTCCAGTGGACCATATTCAGAATTGTTATCGTTGTCGAGGAAATCATCATTCAGATCAGTGCAAATTTAAAGACGCGGAATGTTATTATTGCAAAAAGCGTGGACATATTGAGAGAGCTTGTATAAAAAAAGCAAAAACCAAAAAGCCAGCAACAAATAATGGAAGAAGACCAAACAGAGTAAATCTTTTAGATACAAACCAGGAAACTCAAAAGACAGAGTATTTATGGTCAATGTTCGTTAAAGGTAGTCCATCGGTCAAGAGAGTGATTACGATAAGTAAGTCACCGGTACAAATGGAAATAGATTCGGGGGCAAGTTACTCAATAATAAGTGAAAAGTTATTTAGAGAAAAAATGCCGTATATTCCGCTAAAACCAAGTCAAATACAATTAAGAACTTGGGGAACAGAGAAAAATCTTAAACTGAGTGGAGAAGCAGAAGTACCAGTCTCGGTTGGGAACGTCACAAAGAAACTAAAGTTGTTAGTAGCAGCGGGTGAAGGTCCGGCTCTAATCGGTCGAAATTGGTTTAACGATTTGGGAATTACTATAACCAGCAATTTATGCAATATAGAATCAACTATTCCAGTAGAAGTGATGAACTTCAGTTCAGTTTTTGATGGAAATCTTGGAGATTACAAGGGAAATCCTGTGAAGTTACAAATGTCAGTTTCAAGTAAACCGAAATTTCTTCGATATCGACAAGTGCCGTTTGCACTAAAACTCAAGGTGGAAGCAGCATTAAAGAAGTTGGAAGATGAAGGCGCACTACGTTCAATATCCTTTAGTGAGTGGGCAACACCGGTTGTACCTATAATTAAACCAGATGGTAGCATACGCATTTGTGGAGATTATAAGTGCACAGTGAATCAAATGCTTTGCAAGGAAACGTATCCATTACCTACTAATACAGAAGTGCTAGCAACATTAGCAAATTGTAAGTGGTTTACAAAGCTGGATTTAGATCGAGCGTATACACAGGTGAAGGTTGACCAAGAATCAGCAAGGATACTTACATTAAACACACATCGCGGACTTTTTGAAGTTACAAGATTACCGTTTGGAATTTCAACGGCACCAGGTATATTTCAACGGGTGATGGAAGGAGTTCTTAAGAACATAGATGGTGTGATTATTTATTTAGATGACATTCTAATTGGCGGAACAACTTTGGAAGAGTTGTGGGATAGAACACGAACTGCTCTGAAACGTGTACAGGATGCAGGATTGAAGCTTAAAAAATCAAAATGTGTTTTCGCAGTACAAGAGATAACATTTTTGGGGTTTAAGATAAGCCGAGAAGGAGTGCGTCCAACTGACGAAAAGGTGAAGGCAATAGCTCAAGCACCAGAACCAATAAATAAACAGCAGCTACAAGCTTTTCTTGGGTTAATTACATTTTATGATAGATTTTTACAAAATAAGGGCGATCTATTGGAACCGCTGTATCGACTATTAAGAAAAGAGATACCTTTTAAATGGGGTAAAGAACAGAAATTAAGTTTTGAACGAGCAAAGAAACTATTACAATCAAAAAATCTTTTGGTGCATTATTCGGCTGACTTACCACTGATATTATGCGGAGACGCATCACCGTATGGAGTTGGAGTTGTTTTGGCACACAAGATGCCGGATGATAGAGAAGCACCGATTGCTTTTGGCTCCAGAACATTACAGGGCGCGGAACGAAATTATTCACAGTTGGATAAAGAAGCGCTAGCGATTATGTTTGGTGTGCAAAAGTTTCATCAATTTTTAAGTGGTAGACAATTTACAATAATGACTGATCATAAACCACTAGTGGGATTATTTAATCCAGAAAAACCAATATCACAGCATATATCACCCAGAATGTTAAGGTGGTCGTTAAAGTTAGGCGCTTACCAGTACGAGATTAAATTCCGAGAAGGGAAACATCACCAGAATGCAGATGCATTGAGCCGGTTACCTTTAAATGATGTAAAGCTACAAATACCGGAAATACCTGAAATATTATACTGCAATGAGGCTGAGGAACAGTTTTTAATCACTGCGAAAGAAATTGCACAAGCAACCAGAAGAGATCCAATACTATCAAAAGTAATGTGGCATATCCAAAGGAAAGATACAGTTTTGCCATATAAATCAATCCAGTTTAAACCGTTTGTGAATAAAATCCAGGAACTATCAGTGAATGCACAATGTTTGTTATGGGGAGCCAGGGTAATAATACCAGCAACACTACGTCCCAGAATACTTGAGATGTTGCACGAAGTTCATCAAGGCATGTCGGCAATGAAAGCAGTTGCGCGAAGCTATTTTTGGTGGCCTGGTTTAGATGAAGATATAGAAATGTTAGCCAGACGTTGTGAAAAGTGTGCATGTAACAAAAAGAATCCTCCAGTAGCAGCAGGTAAACCATGGCCAGCAACGCTAAGGCCATGGTCACGGTTACATATTGATTATGCGGGACCCTTTATGGGTACAAATTTTTTTATCGTCGTAGATGCTCATAGCAAGTGGATAGAGGTAAAAATAACCAGTAAAATAAATGCGATTAGAACAATCGAGTTAATGAGAGAAATATTTGCAACACATGGTATACCAGATACCATTGTGTCCGATAATGGGCGAACGTTTGTGTCAGAAGAATTTGAGAAATATTTAAAACTTAGCGGTATAAAGCACATACGTACGGCACCGTATCATCCATCGTCAAACGGGCAAGCAGAAAGGTTTGTACAAACCATTAAGAATCACCTTAAGAAAATGCAGTCTTCAGACATCAGTAAGAATTTGGCAAATATACTTTTGCATCTGCGTACAACTCCTAATGCAAATTCAAGTTTGAGTCCAGCAGAAATCTTGATGGGAAGGAAGTTGAAAACATTGTTAGATCATTTGCACCCCAGTGATCACAACACTCAGAAGCAGCTAAATTCTGATGAGTATTCCAAACAAATAAAACCAGTTCGCAGTTTCCAGTGTGGTGAAAGTGTTTGGTACCGAAATTTTGGAAGAGGAGAAAAGTGGATGCCAGGGATTATACAATCAACAGGAGATCGCAACTACAAAATTCAATCAAATAGTGACATATTGTCGAGACATATTGACCAGTTGCATAAGCGAGTTTCGGAGACACCGACAAGGTTAGAATCCAATATAACTCCAGTAGCAGTAACTTCAGTGGCACAACCGGAAGAGCAAGACGACCAAGTAAGTGCAGGTCAGTCATCAAATGAATATATCCTACCAGATAGTCAAGTAGAGGGGTCATTAGAAGAAAAAGATAAAAGAGATGAAACATTAAAATCGCGACCGTACCGGCAGAGGCAACCGACAAAAAGGTTACGGGACTATTTGATGGGGGAGGAACTGTAGTATATTCGATAATGGCAACACTGCATAAAGAAATAGAGAAAGAAGTAAAAAAGACAAAATGCGTAGTTGTTGTCGGAATCGTGCAAAGCAGAGTAAACGTGCTGTGGTGTAATCATAATATTTTATTAAGATTAAATTGTAAATTATTATAATACTTTAAGTAATAAAGTATATGTTGTTATATATAAGAACATAACAATGTATTATTCATTTTTTAATGTTTTATACCGGAACTTTTTAAGACCCTTATACATGTGAAATTTATTGTGCGCAACAGTGCGCCATTTCATTATATTCTGTCAATAAATAGTGACGGAATGACATATTTTGAATTGTGTAACGCAGTCCACACAACTAAGTTGAGAATTATTTTTGTCATGCATGTTTGTTAATAACTCAATTATCTATTATTCATTTTTTAATGTTTTATACCGGAACTTTTTAAAACCCTTATTTATGTGAAACTTATTGTGCGCAACAGTGCGCCATTTCATTATATTCTGTTAATAAATAGTGACGGAATGACATATTTTGAAATGTGTTACGCAATTCACACAACTAAATTGAGAATTATTTTTGTCATGCATGTTTGTTAATAACTTAATTATGTATTATTCATTTTTTAATGTTTTATACCGGAACTTTTTAAAACCCTTATACATGAAAATTTATTGTGCGCAACAGTGCGCGATTTCATTATATTCTGTCAATAAATAGTGACGGAATGACATATTTTGAATTGTGTTACGCAGTCCACACAACTAAATTCAGAATTATTTTTGTCATGCATGTTTGTTAATAACTCAATTATGTATTATTCATTTTTTAATGTTTTATACCGGAACTGTTTATAACCCTTATACATGTGAACTTTATTGTGCGCAACAGTGCGCCATTTCATTATATTCTGTTAATAATTAGTGACGGAATGACATATTTTGAAATGTGTTACGCAGTCCACACAATAATATTGGGAATTATTTTTGTCATGCATGTTTGTTAATAACTCAATTATGTATTATTCATTTTTTAATGTTTTATACCGAAACTTTTTAAAACCCTTATTTATGTGAAACTTATTGTGCGCAAGAGTGCGCGATTTCATTATATTCTGTTAATAATTAGTGACGGAATGACATATTTTGAAATGTGTTACGCAGTCCACACAATAATATTGGGAATTATTTTTGTCATGCAAGTTTGTTAATAACTCAATTATGTATTATTCATTTTTTAATGTTTTATACCGGAACTTTTTAAAACCCTTATTTATGTGAAACTTATTGTGCGCAAGAGTGCGGCATTTCATTATATTCTGTCAATAAATAGTGACGGAATGACATATTTTGAATTGTGTTACGCAGTCCACACAACTAAGTTGAGAATTATTTTTGTCATGCATGTTTGTTAATAACTCAATTATGCATTATTCATTTTTTAATGTTTTATACCG